AATGAATCAAAGATTCTCTTTCTCTCTCTCTCCCTCTCTCTCTCTCTCTCTCTCCTTTTCTGGAGCTCTCACTTTCAAATAAATAAATCTTTCATGAGCCAGCAAAAGTTGTCTTCCCCCAACATATTATTTCAGGCAAACAAAAAGGCAAAGGCTATCCCTAACCAATCTTCATGAGAAGTAATGTTACAGGGGAACGGAAGAGAGCACCATGGGACAGCATGTCAGACCACTGCCTGGGACACCTGTAGCCCATACGAGAGTGCTAATTTAAGTCCTGGCTCCTCCATGCTTGCAGCACAGCTTCTTGCTACTGTGCCTGGGACACAGCAAACGATGACCCAAGTGCTCGGGTGCCTGCTACCCATATGGGAGAGCCAGCCAGTGTCCTGGCTTTTGGTTTTGGCCTGGCCTAACCTTGGCTCCTGTAGGAATTTGGGGACTAAACTAGTAAACAAGGCCTATTCCTCTGCATATGATTCTACTTTTCAAATAGATAAAAAAAAAAAATCTTAACAAAAAAAAAAAAAAGGAAAAATATTAAAGGAATCTCAAGCAAAAGGAAATGATTAGCAAAAGGAAATCTGGATTACATAAAAGAATGAAAAGCCCCAGCAGTGGCAGTAAGTGGATAAAGATAAGTATTTTTTCATTTAAAAGTGGACAGCATGTGCAGGTGCACATGGAGGTTACGGTAGTACATTGGAGCCTGCATAGAATACCTGGTACCAGAACAGAGGACAGAACAAACTGATCAACTACCCCAGCCAAGTGCTGGCAGTGAAAATCTGGGCAACTGGAGACGTTAAGATGGACTGTGTCAGCCAGTGGATTCTGAAGAGATTTCAACGTGCTTGGAATGGTGAGACTGGCAGCAATTCAGAACAGTTGAACTAACAAAACCACTGGAGCAGTGCCCTCGGAGCATGCCCCCCACATCAGGGACACTGGGATGGTTGGGAGGGTAGGGGGCTTCTCCCTTTGTCTCTCCCCTTCCCCAGATATAGGAAGAAGAAAAGAGAATGTGGAAACAATGGTCTTACCCATTTTCCTGTATTCCTTGACCCTTTGAGCCATAATCAACTATGTAAAGATCATCAAAAAAAAAAAAAAAGAAAGAAACAATAAATGATATAAAATGTAAAATTTGAAAAAAAAAAAGGAAAAAAGATATCTAAAGGCGGTGCAGGGTGCAGTAGCCTAGTGGCTAAAGTCCTCACCTTGAACGCGCCGGGATCCCATATGGGAGGCTGCTTCTAATCCTGGAAGCCCACTTCCCATCCAGCTCCCTGCTTGTGGACTGGGAAAGCACTTGAGGACAGCCCAAAGCCTTGGGACCCTGCACCTGTGTGGGAGACCCAAAAGAGGCTCCTGGCTCCTGGCTTCAGATTGGTGCAGCGCTGGCTGTTGTGGCTGCTCGGGGAACATTGGATGGAAGATCCATCTCTCTGTCTCTCCTCCTCTCTGTACCTCTGAGTTAAAAAAAAAAAAAAAACTACAAAAAATTCAAATGTTCAATAGACTAAAGGATAAAAAAATGGTAGAATGCCAACACAATGTAATACTATTCAGAGAGAAAAATTACTGGCACACCTACACATGTAGCTCAATCTCGTATAGAGGGAAAGAGGCTAAATCCCAAGCAAGTGTTTCAATTCATATGTAATTCTAAAATATGCAAATTAATTCAGAAAACAGAAGAGCACACAGTTGGCAAAGGGGAACGGATTCCCCAGGGGCAGGGAGAGACTTCCGGGGGTCACGGGCATGTTCATGATTTTATCTTTTCATCTGAGAAGCAGTAAGACAGGAGACAGAGCCCTCCCCTGCCAGCTTATTCCCCGAAGGCACACAATGGGAACGACGGGCAGCAATTCAGAGCAGCTGAACTATGAAAACCACTGGAGCAGTGCCCTCGCAGCATGCCCCCCACATCGGGGACCCTGGGATGGTTGGGAGGGTGGGTGTGGTTTCTCCCTTTGTCCAGCCTGAAGCCAGGAATTCAACCCAGGTCTCCCCTGGGGGTGGCAGGGATTCAACCATCCACACCATCACCTGCTGTTTGCCAAGGTCTACGTGGGCAGGGAACCTGGAACCAGGAGCCTCAGCGGGGAATCGGATCTACGCATTCCAACGAGGGTCCGGACATCCCAACTGCTGGCCCAAACACCTGGCCCATGGCTGCTGTTTTAACTGTGGTAATGGCTTCACAGCCATGTAGCCATGTACACATAAAGATGTCAATACTCATCCTATTGTACTCTTCAGATACATCCAGCTCACTATCAATTCTACCTAGGTAAAGATATAATTTAAGAAAGAAAGAAAGGCCCGGCATGGTAGCCTGGCAGCTAAAGTCCTCACCTTGAACATGCCAGGATCCTATATGGGAGCTGGTTCTAATCCTGGCGTCCCTGCTTCCTATCCACTTCCCTGCTTGTGGCCTGGGAAAGCAGTCAAGGATGGCCTAAGTCCGTGGGACTCTGCACCCACGTGGGAGACCCGGAAGAAGCTCCAAGTTCCAGGCTTTGGATTGGCTCAGCTCTGGCTGTTGCGACCACTTGGGGAGTAAATCATTGGACGGAAGATCTTCCTCTCTGTATATCTGACTTTACAATAAAAATAAGTTAATCTAAAAGAAAAAAAAATCTTCCTCTCTGTCTCTCCATCTCTCTATATATCTGATTTTTCAATAAAAAATAAAAATAGAAAGAAAGAAAGAAAATCCCAGGCCAAAAAAATGTAAGGTAAAGAAGTGGGCACTGCAACACAGCAGGCTGGTCAACTGGCACAGTCACATTCCTTATCCAAATCCTAGGCGGTGATGGTGGTATAGCGGTGAGCATAGCTGGTGATTCAGCTGGGACTCTAAGGGCTGCCTAACAGGGGATGCAAGTCTGCAGGTGGTGGCTTAAACCATTATGTCACAATGTGAGACCTGATTTGTTGTTTTTGTTTTAAAAAGGAAAAATGTCAATCTAACTCTTCCAGAAAACATAAGGGACAGGAAATAGTTGCCAGATCACTTCATGAGGTCAGCATTAATCCAATATCAAAACCAAAGGAATTACCCCCACAAATGACAGGATTCTAAAATGGTCACCCTCTAGTATCACAGTTTCACCTAGAACTTCATGATGTCATGAGCAAACCCCACAGATGCTAGCACGGAATATATACGGCAATCATGAAACTGAAGTGTGGATACGCAACGGTACGCGCGTGTGCCTAAGGGATGCTAGAAAAGGGATGGTGGGTCATCGTTACTTTCGTTATGCTATTCTCTGTATGGCTTGGATGTTTAGAATGTGTGCAGACCATTTTCATAACAAAGCCGTCCTCATTGTGACAGAACATAGAACACATGTTCCTTTGCCAAAGTCATGACTGACATCAAGATCAGAGCTGAGGTCAGCTGGCTGCGACAAGTGACAAATGGTGGTAGAGCTGCTGCCTCAGTGACTGGCAGCTACAGCACTCTCTGTCGTCAGGATCAGCGTCCATTACCAGGTGAGAAAACCTGGGGGATGCCGTCAGACTGCAGAACCAAAGCAACTCTCCCTCTGGCTCCAGTACGGGAGGGTGTTTGCCTAGGCTACCTTACACTTCCTACAGGATGACGTCTCTCTCCCCACTTGGGCTCTGCATTCTGACCTGGCCTTCCAGCTGTCCTCCCGATGGGCGCCTCCCCCATCAGCTCTCAGCACAGCGCTCATGGAGACCCATCTCACATCTTGACTTTCAGCCCCGTGCCCACCCAGCCTGGCACACTGGCATTTTCTGACTCTTCAAATCCCTCCCCTTCAGACACCTTACCCCGGGCTCTCCCTCATCCCCTCTCCAGCTGTAACCCCAGGCTGGAAAATGAGGAGCTGGAGCAGATGTGGATTTAATTTTATCCAGACGCAACATCCCAAAGACCCAAGGACGAGTTAGTTACATAACTTACTTGATGCCACTGAAATGAACGCTGAAAACTGGATAAACTGGTAAACTGATGTACTTAAGAATTTTTTTTTAATATCACAAGATCCTCCAGCAACCATCTTTAGATTGTTTCCTAGCCTACCGCCACACTCACCCCTCATTCCTTTTTTTTTTTTTTTCACCTGTTTGGCTTCTTGAATCATATGAGTTCGTGACTCCTGCTCAAAACCCAACACATCTCACAGCATCAGCTAGGCAAACTAAACTTGGACAGGCCAACCATTAACAACTTCAGCAACCTTTAACAAATACACACTAGCCCAATGAAAAAACTCCAAGCCAAACTGTCTTCCCTCCTCTTCTCTTATCTAAATACCACTCTGTCAATGCTTACTCTCCATCGACTCCAATCCAAAGGGGATTCTTGCTTTTTTTCAGGTTTTGTAGCTCTAAGCAGCTAATTGGTAGGTATGTTGTAGATACCCAACAACCCTCCAATTACCACTCAAGCCCCTCCTCATTCATTCAACAAACACAAAGCCTGATTCTAAGCTCTGGGGGTAGAGCGGTGAAACATAATGACCAGGTCCCCCTCAAGTAGCTGAAGACACCACCATGAGTGAGCTAATTCAGACACTGAATGCTGGAGTGGGGGAGATGAAGCACAGTAATGACACTGAAATTGACATGGGAGCCACTCCATGAGCCAGTTAGTGGGTGAAGGCCCTCAGGTACACCAAGTGTGAAGCATAACAAGGAACCAGCCACGAGAAGGCCATGGCTAGAGCACCCCAGTCAAAAGGAATAGCAGGTACACCCCGTCACTGCCACCTTCAGGGATGGGGTGAGCAAAACAAACCAGGGAGACAAGACAGACGAGATCAGAGGTCAGATCTCAGAGGTGATGACTAGTCTACACCTTTTCCTATCCCAAGGGTAGGCATTTAACAAAAACGTCAATATTCTGGTTACATGTTTGAAAATGCCCAATTATTTTGGACACCCATCATCTCCTTCCTGGACAACATCCATATTTCCTTCGGTCCTGCAACAAACATTTTTAGAATGCTTACCCCTTTGATGAAAGTGGGTTTGTCCTTTACGGCAAAGTTCCACAGCAAGATATCTCCCCCTTTGGAGCCCACTGCCAGGGTGCTTGGGTGAGTCGGGTGCCAGGCCAAGGATGTAGCCCTCCTGTCAAAGGGGGCAGCCTTTTGGAATATCCGGTAAGAAGCCAGAGAGTGCAAGAAGGACTGCTGGAGACTCTACCACACAGAGGAAAGAAAGTACACTGAATTAAAACTCAGGTTCTAGGGCTGGCGTTGTGGGTATGGCAAGTTAAGCTGCCACCTATAACGCCGCCGGCAGCCCACACAGGCACCGGTTCATGCTCTGGCTGCTCCACTTCTGATCTAGCTCTCTTCTAATGCTCATGGGAAGGCAGCAATGGATGATCCAAGTACTTGGGTCCTTGCCACCCAAGTGGGAGACCCAGAAGGAGCTCCTGGCTTCAGTTTGGCACTGCCTTGGCTGTGTAGCCATCTAGAGAGTAGACTGGCTGGTGGACAACTTCTCTCTCTGTCTCTGGCTTTCTTCTCTGCAGTTCTGGTTTTCCAATAAATAAATCTTTAAAAAAAAAAAAAGTCCTGGGAAAACTGCCAATCTCTGTCTCTTTCATGGATGAGCCCTAAGGCCAAATCCTCCCAGGTCTGGCCCCATACAAGAAAATATTTGCAACGTATGCAAACTATTCATGGAAAACAGAGGCCAAGGTGCATTCCTTTCTAAACTGGAATTTTTATACCTAGTCGAGCTCTCCATGGGCCAATCAATACCACCATCAAGGGTAACCTGACCACTTTGACAAAAACCAATTTTGTAGTATCTATTAAAACAAACAGAAAACCCAGCCAATCCTACAGCATGTCAAATTGGCTGAGAAATGCTCACCTGTTGCATGGATGGCCAGGCAGCCCGGCCTAACCTGTGCTGGTGCAAGGCCCTGACCAGGCTGCTGCTGGGCTGCAGCTGCGGCACCTGCAGGCTGGGCAGCTCCGCCCACGGGCCGGTGGAGTCATGTCTTCTGCCAGGACCTGCCAAGAAGCAAAGATGCCTACTTTCCCCTCCCACCTCAGGAAAGGTTTTCCTGCAGAAATTTCACCGAGCCTCATGGCTTACGGGCAGTCAACCTGTCTTGCCCGTTTGTAGTATGGGCACCCCCTTCACCCAGGGCCAAGGCATGATTGGCAGGACTCAGTTCCTCCCCACAAGTTATTTAGTGAAATGAAGTATGATTTTGCAAAGTCTGCTAGACCTGAGCCAGGGAAACAAACAGGAACACGGTGTCCTGCAGACGGGGTTGGGTGACCATTTTAAAATCACAGACTTGTGGGGTCATCACTACCCACATGGGAGATCTGGATTGGGTTCCTGGTCGCAGTTTTTTAGCGTGGCCCAGCTCCCAGCTGTTGCAGGAAATTTGGGGAGTGAATTAGCGGTTGAAAGTTAGTTCTCTCTGTCTCTCTCAAGAACAAAACAAAATCATATATGATGCACTTTTAAAAAAGACTGCAGGACAGCAGAATCCATGTATCTCCAAAAGTGAGTAACTTTGGATGCTGTATCAAAGTCAGCTGGAGGTGACTAAGTGTCCCTTACAGAGAGTTTTGCAACCCAGCAGGGCTGGGAATAGCGTTCCAGTCCTCAGGTCACACTAGGGTGGGTCCCCTGATTAGGACTAAAACAACTCGATGATCAAATTTGTACCTGCAGACCCAATCCTATGGGTCTTTTTGAAGACCAATTCTGTCTTTTCGTGGACAAAAAAACATTGCATCAACAGCCCCCACACTCCTTACAGCCTCAAGTTGAAACCCCCAAGAGCCCTCCGAGGTGGAGCCCAGGACTGACACAGCCAGCATCAAGGCCAGGGAGCAAAAAGTTCAGCACCCCCAGTGCCAGGAGAGGGACCCCAGAGTGCAAAACTGTCTGCGACAAATCAGGAACTGGTAAATGGCCTCCTGTCTTCCTGTTCCTCGGCTGGGGATGGGGGAGAGAAGAGGAGGGCAGCGATCTAAACCTCAAATCCCCGGCCCCCAAGCACCTGCAGGCGGGGTGCACAGCCTCCCCAACCTCCCACCGCCCCTCGGCTCCGCCCCGGGGCCCCCGAACGGCGGAAACAAGGAAGCAGCAGGCCCAGGCAGTACCGCAGCCCTTGACACTGAGCTTCTTGGCCTGGGGCTCCGACTCTCCGGAATCTCTGGCCCTCTTGCTGCGGGGACGCAACACCACTTCGAGGGGCTTCTGGGCTTCTGGGCGTTTCTTGGGAGCCATCGCGTGCGTCGTCCGTGCAAAGCGGGGGAATCCTTGGCCGACGTCCAGCAGGAAGGACTGCAAAGTCTCGGAAGAGAGAGGTAGAGGCGGAGAGAAAGCGGGGACACGCCAAAGCCCCGCGGCTGCAGGTAGCCCAGCTAAGCCGACTTCCCGCCAAACATGCCCGGAGCTTGTTTGGTTCTGGCGGTGGCTCCGCCCCCTGTGAGACACGCCCCTTCCTGGGCGGGGCGATCGTGGGGCGTGGCTGCCGCTCTGCAGCAGACGCCAGGAGGATCCTAGGGTTGGGTCTGGGGGGAAAGGGTTGGGTTTTTTCTTTCTTTTTTTTTTTAAAGATTAATTAATTTTTTTTAATTACAAAGTCAGAAAAACAGAGAAGAGGAGAGACAGAGAGAGAGGACGATCTTCCGTCCGATGATTCACTCCTGTTGCACCAGGAGCCTAGAGCCTCCTCCAGGTATCCCACACGGGTGCAGGGTCCCAAGGCTTTGGGCTATCCTCAGTTGCTTTCCCAGGGCACAAGCAGGGAGTTGGGTGGGAAGCAGGGCTGCCAGGATTAGAACTGGCGCCCATATGGGATCCCGGAGCGTGCAAGGCGAGGACTTGAGCCGCTAGGCCACGGCGCTGGGCCCAGGGGTGGGTTTTTTTCTTCCCGTCCAGTTTGTGGGATGCTGTGGAGAATGCATCACATCTTGCCACGTGGGGGCTGCGGCGAGCGTAGGGAACCTAAGAATTAAACCAACGTGACACAGATGAACAAAGGCACAAGACATTTTATTTCCTAGGTTTGCAAGTTAAGGGGAGACTTGGAAAAATGAAGGTCTCCCCCCATCCCCCTGAGACTGTCAGGCCGGGAAGCTTGTCCTGCATACTTTTTTACACAGCAGTGGAAATGGGACAGAAAGGCCCAAGCTAGGGGCGCCACACGGGGAAGGAAACCTTCTAGAAGGACTAATGGAAGGTGAGGGTTATTATAGGTTGCTGCAATAGCCCTTGCAGTGTGGGTTCCTGGTCTCTGATGGAAAGAATGGTCCCTTCCAGCGCCTGGGTGAACATTTTCCTCGTTGGCCCCAGGGAGAAGGGGCAGGAGGCATTGCTGCTTTGTTCTTGTCAGGTGTTTTCAACTCTAAATAATCAGGATGCTGGGAAGTTTGACCTGCAGTTAAGGGACCCCAGGGGACGTGCCCTTCCTGTAACTAAGCACCTGTGCAGAGCCAGGATATCCCCAGCCGCAGGTCCTGGCTGTGTGTGGGTTCCAGCTTCCTGCTGATACACACCTGGAACAGCAGGTAATAGCTGTAGCAATTGGGGTTTTTCCAGCTGTGTAAGAGCCCTGGACTGGGTTCCTGGTTCACTAGCAGCGGAGACCTGACTCAGCCCGGGCTGTGGGAAAGCATCTGGAAAGTAAGCCGGTAGATAAACTAAATGTAGTTTTCTCTTGTCACGGGAAGCAGCTGATGGAGGCAGATGTTTCCCAGGGGGTGAGTGACCTCACCAGGATACCCGGATAGAGTGAGCAGAGTTCCATTTATCCACATACAGACAGTAAGAATGTTACAAGTGCAGCGTGGACTACAAGCTATGAGGCAGCACCTACTTTCAGGATGAAGTTTTCCCATGATTCAATGAGTCTACCCCAGGTAGGTGATTTACATTTATGGGCATGGCTCAGGGAGCCCTCCACATCTTTATCTTTCCTTCCATCTCTCTGTTTTTAAATCAAAAATCAGTATGTAATAATATGCCAAAGTAGTATATGTTGGGGAGTCATGTTGTGAACCCCTCCCATGATGAATCATACAGTTAACAGGCATTTTAGCAGGGAGCTGGATCTCAAGTGGAGCAGCCAAGACTCCAACTGGTATCATAGAGAATGTTGGTTCCTGTAGGTAACTGCTTAATTCACTGCACCACAATGCTGGCCCCATAGATTCTAGAGTTTGAATATTAGGTTTGGTGTCCCCAAAAGGCGTGTGGGTTTAAAGGCTTTGTCCCTAATGTTTTCTGTTATTGGTACAAAGAGAGAACTAATCCAGTCTTGAGGTTTAGAGTTGGATATTTGGGGAGCACTAAGACTGGATTCAGTTGTGAAGGGGGCACCTCCATGCGGAATCCTGGTGACTTTCCAAGGGGAGCCTGCACTCCCTGGACAGCCTTGCATCTGTTTGCCTCGGGAAGCTTGCACTGCCCTGGGACTCTGGGAGGACACCGTCATTAGTGGTTGAACCAGCAAGATTGCCTGATCTTGGACCAGGAGCCTTTCAAACCATGAACTCGAGAAATCCACCTTCATTCACAAGTAGCTTGTCCCAGTAGTTCACGGTGATCAGACAACACTGACAAATATGGATTTGTGCACAACCTGTTTAACGCTAGGTTTTCCTGGAATCCAAGGTAAAGGATGGGGAGGTTTATTCAGTAAAGGAGCATTGCATATGTTCTGAACATTCCAGTGAAGTGCTTGGTTTTTGTTTTGTTTAGTTTTTTTGCTTTGGGCATCCTCATCCTTCCCCAGATTTGACTTCAGCTTTCTCTGTTTTATTTTGTCACTGCCTAGGGGCTTGATTCAAATCTGATGAGCCATTGTGGTCAGGAGGACAAGAGCTTTTTTTTTTTTAAGCAAGTGTAAAAATAAACAAATAATAAAAAGCAAATATTTTTATTGGAAAGGCACATTTGCATAGAGAAAGAGAAACAGAGATCTTCGTTCCCCAGTGGTCACAATGGCCAGAGCTGAGCTGATTCTAAGACTGGAGCCAGCAGCATGCTCTGTGTCTCCCACATCAGTGCAGGGTCCCAGGGACTTGAACAATCCCATCTAGGCCTTAAGCAGGGAGCTGAATGGGAAGTGGAGCAGCCAGGACACAAACTGCCACCCACATGGGTTGCCCGTCCCTGAAGCTGGAGGTGCAGCCCATTAAGCCATGGCGTCGACCCCTAAAGAGCTTTTAATGATTGTGTTTTGGGAACTGACACAATGATTCAACTGTTAATCCTTTGCCTTGCAGTGTCAGCATCCCATGTAGGCGTTAGTTTCTGTTGCTGGCTCTGGACTGGCTCAGCTCCCGGTGTTGTGGCCATTTAGGCAGTGGACCAGCAGATGGAAGGTCTTTCTGTCTTTCCTCTATAGATCTGCCTCTCCAATAAAAATGAATAAATTTTTTATTTTTCATTTATTTTTTTAAAGATTTATTTTTATTATTTTTTCATTGGGAAGGCGGATATACAGAGAGGAGAGACAGAGAGGAAGATCTTCCGTCCGATGATTCACTCCCCAAGTGAGCGCAACGGGCCGATACTATGCCGATCCGAAGCCAGGAGCCTCTTCTGGGCCTCCCACACGGGTGCAGGTTCCCAAAGCTTTGGGCTGTCCTCAACTGCTTTCCCGGGCCACAAGCAGGGAGCTGGAAGGGAAGCGGGGCTGCCGGGATTAGAACCGGCGCCCATATGGGATCCCGGGCGTGCAAGGCGAAGACCTTTAACCACTTGCGTCACCGCGCCGGGCCCATGAATAAATTTTTTAAAACGCTTGTACTTTGCTGTGCCATACTGATGAGGTAAATGGCATTGCACTGTGGTGGTTTCACACCATGGGCAGATTGTGCCCTGGAGTTGTTGGCAGCTGCTTGGCTCCTATTTGTGATACCACGTTTGACATAGGGCATCGCATGAGGACCCATTCAACAGCTGCAGGTGATACACTGGGAGCCAGGCAGACCACAAGCATGACCCCGAATCAGGCTGTTTCTTTGATCTGCAAGACAATAGGGAACTTTTAAAAAGATTTATTTATTTTTTTTTTTTAAAGATTTATTTTTATTATTTTTTCATTGGAAAGGCGGATATACAGAGAGGAGAGACAGAGAGGAAGATCTTCCATCCGATGATTCACTCCCCAAGTGAGCGCAACGGGTCGATACTATGCCGATCCGAAGCCAGGAGCCTCTTCCGGGTCTCCCACGCGGGTGCAGGTTCCCAAAGTTTTGGGCTGTCCTCGACTGCTTTCCCAGGCCACAGGCAGGGAGCTGGAAGGGAAGCGGGGCTGCCGGGATTAGAACCGGCGCCCATATGGGATCCCGGGCGTGCAAGGCGAGGACCTTTAACCACTTGCGCCACCGCGCCGGGCCCCAAGATTTATTTATTTTTATTGACAAGCCAGATATACAGAGAGGAGGAGAGACAGAGAAGAAGATCTTCCGTCCAATGATTCACTCCCCAGGTGACTGCAACGGCTGGTGCTGCGCTGATCTGAAGCCAGGAGCCAGGAACTTCTTTTTTTTTTTTTTCATTGGAAAGGCGGATATACAGAGAGGAGAGACAGAGAGGAAGATCTTCCGTCCGATGATTCACTCCCCAAGTGAGCGCAACGGCCGATGCTATGCCGATCCGAAGCCAGGAGCCTCTTCCGGGTCTCCCACACGGGTGCAGGGTCCCAAAGCCTTGGGCCGTCCTCAACTGCTTTCCCGGGCCACAAGCAGGGAGCTGGATGGGAAGCGGGGCTGCCGGGATTAGAACTGGTTCCCATATGGGATCCCGGGCGTGCAAGGCGAGGACTTTAACCACTGTGCCACCGCGCCGGGCCCAGGAGCCAGGAACTTCTTTCTGGGTCTCCCAAGCAGGGGCAGGCTCCCAAGGTTTTGGACCATCCTTGACCGCTTTCCCAGGCTACAAGCAGGGAGCTGGATGGGAAGTGGAGCTGCTGGGATTAGAATCAGCGCCCATATGGGATCCCGGCACTTTCAAGGCGAGGGCTTTAGCTGCTAGGCCACCGTGCTGAGTCCTTTGGGTTCTTTCTAAGATTTATTTTTTGTTGGACTGACACAGTGTTTCAACAGGTTAATCCTCTGCCTGTTGCCTTGGCATCCCCTATGATCCCAGTTCATGCTGCACTGCTTCTGATCCAACTTCCTGTTATTGACCTGGGAAAGCAGTGGAAGATGCTGCAAGACCTTGAGCCCCTGCACCCACGTGGGACACCCAAAAGAAGCTCCTGGCTCCTGGCTCCTGGCTTCAGACTCTGGCCTGACTCTGGCAGTTGTGGCCTTTGGGGAGTGAACCAAAAGATAGAAATTCTCTCTGTGTCTTTCAAATAAATAAAAAATATATATATTTAAAAAATAATGAGTTATTTATTTTTTGCTTGAAGAGAGAGAGGAGAGAAGGAGT